GGCTTTGGCGGGGCGCTGGGCGCCGCGGGCAGGGGGCTCCTCGGCTCCCGGCGCTTCCTGTGTGTCCATGGGCTCCGGAGACGGCAGCTCACGGTGGGGGCGCGCTGCCTCGGCCGCGCCTTCCGCTTCCCGCGGCGGGTGCAGGCGAGGGTCAGGGCAGCGGGCGGGCGGCAAGGACACCTCGGGCTCGGGGGCCTCCACCTTGGCCGAGAGGTAGAGCTCCCGGGCGCTCCGCATGACCAGCGACAGCTGCAAACTCCGGTGCAGTCGCAGGCCACCGCGCTGCATGCGCGAGTGGTACATCTTCCACACCGACAGGGTCATGATGCGCTGGGCCTCTTTCTGCACCTCCATGTCGGCTCGACGGCGGGGGCTCGCGGGCAGACAGGACAGGCAGCAGGTGCACTCCGGACTAGGAGCTCGCTCACGCCTCCCTGCACGCGCCGACCCACGCAGCGATACTGCCGGGACGCTCTGCCCGGGCGCCCGCCACCCCGGCCTATTTATACCCCGGGTGACGTCACGGACGCCCCGCCCAATCCAAGGGCCGCATCCGGGCTTTCCACAGCGCCGTGGAGAATCCTTAAAGCGACAGGGTGCAATTTATCCAGCGGGGGGCGGAAAAAGGACCCGAACGCCGGCAAGGAGGAACGCCCCCCAACTCCACGCTGAGTTCTCGGGCTGATCTCCTTTCTCTGAGCCTAGCCGATGCACCCACGCGCTAGCTCAGGGGAGGGGGCCAAGAAGGGGGCAAGACCCACCCACATGCTTGCATCTGGAGGCCCCATCGGGTCGTAGGCGGCTAAGTTTCCCTTCATACCCGGGAAGACCCGGATTCGAGCGCGTACCTTCCCCGGGGCACTCTTATTAGCATCTACGAGGCGTCTAATGAATGCATCAGTAACGACGTGAGCACTTAGCGCTTACTACGTGCCAGGCACTGTGATGCGCTTTCCTTTTGTTAATATCTCTCTGATCCTCACCTCCGCTCCGCGGAGGGTACAGTGATATCTGCTTTTTTTCCAGGTGGGGAAACCAAGGCAGAGTTACTCGTTCAATATTTGCTGAACGAATTACTTGGCTAGTGCAGTGAAAGGGGGCCACTAGGGCCTCAAGTTCTCCTGTCTGTAGCCTCGCCAGCCCTCCTCATTCCCCGTTTGTAGGGGGCAAGCGGCACCGCCAGGTTCCTGGGCTTCAGAAATCGCCCACCACGCCGGGTATCCGCGCCCCGCGCCGAGCCTGGCCTCCCGTAACAAGAGCTCCACGGGTGGGTTCTGCGCTCCCACAGCGGCAGCCCCGGCCGCATGACAGTCCCCGTGAACACGTGGCTGCCGCCCCCCAGACGACAGGGTCGTGCTCCGCCTCCGTGCTCCGGGAGGCGGGGTTCGGGTGAGAGCTGGAAACCAAGCAATACCGAGGAGCAAGGAGAAAACATCGGCCCCACCCTCCTCCACGGGCCATCGCTCCGGGAAAACAACTCCAGTGTCTCAATCAAAGGATGCAAAATTGTTCCAAGCGCTCCATTCATTTGTGGTGCGGGCCCTTTAAGGGGTGGCGCCCCCTCCCCCCGACTCGCTCACTGAACCTTCCCGCCACCGGCGCCCGCTGACTTCCACGACTAAATTTGGAAGAAGTGACGTAGGGCTGGTGCCCGAGCCACTTCCGGCTGCCCATATAAGGACAGGGGCCGGGATCGCCCTAGCGGGCGGCGGCGGACTTCCGGGCGGGGGCGGGGCTTCGGGCCGGGACACGCCCCACCGATCCCCCACCCCTCCGGCAGCCGGAGCTGGCCCGAGCCCCAGGTTTCCTGACCGCGTGCAGCGGGCGTATGGGGAGGGAGGGGAGAGTTTCACTTCCTTCCCTCCGGGGGCCAGGAAGGCGGGACGTCGGAAGAGCACCCTGCAGCGGGCAGCGGTGGCCGCCGCGCTCCCACTGACGCCATCACCCTACATAAGGACCCTGCCAACAGACAAGACGACCCGCTGGAGCTTCCTTGTCCCATTCTTCTCCCCGCCCCGTTACGCCCCCGACAAGGCCCCCTCCCAGGTGATTCCTGCCTGATCTTCTCGTGCCTCGGCGCACCGTCACGTCACGCCCCGCCCCGCCACGATTCTCCCCAAAGACCCCTCGAGAACCAGTCCCCATTCAGCGACGCCGCCCTCGTCCTCGCCCCCGAGCCACCACGGAGACTCCACACTGACTTCCCCGGCCCAGGGGCTATCTTTGAGATCCCCCGGTGACCCTCCGAGGGACATCCCCCACCCTCCAGGGCGACCAGGCCCGCCTACTCAGACGACGGCTTCCCACTCCCACCCCTAGAAGAGCGCTTTCCCGGAGACGCCACGCGCACACGGGGCTGACCCTAAAAGCTCCTCCCCAGGCGTTCCCGGCCCCTCCTCCGACGGAGATCCCACACGCGGAGGACTCCCGGGGAGACGTTCCCCAAAGCCACAGCCACGCCCCTCCCGCGACCTCCAGGCCCGCACACGGAAGACTCCGCGACAACGAAACCCTCCTACACGCACCTCCAAGGAGCCCCCACCCGGGCACCTCGGGCCAACGTGCACGCCACCCGCCCCAAGGCGACCTCGAGACGCTCCCCTATCCTTGGCAGGAAAAAGAGAAGGGGAGAGTCCAGCAGGACTCCCCGAAGAATGCCCGCTCCTCACCCCAATCCCGCAGGAGGAGGGGAGGACCTCCCCCCCCGCCCCGCCCCGCAGCCCTTCCCTAACCTGCCACTCGGGACCCTGGGCTGGGACGATCTCCCAGGACTGGATCCGGGTGCCAGTTCGGGAGTCCGTTTAAGGCTCAAAGAATCGAACGAGCCCCTTCCCCAGCCATAATCCCGTCTCAGTTATAAGGGAGCCTATTATTATTGACATTGCCCCGAAGGGAAACAGAGGTTGCGCAGCAACAGTCCGAGGAGCTGAACTCGAATCGAAATTCCGAGCTCGGATCCAAACTGGGCCAGACACAACTAGGACCCCGCCCCCTCTGAGGGGGAGGAGGGTACGCGAGGCGAAAGGATCGGGTATGTGAGCCGGAAGTCACGTGTGCCCACAACAAAAATGGCTGCAGAGAGGGCGGAAGTTCCCATACGTCGTGCCGTCAGGGTCTTTCTTTCTCTCCTGGCGGCCCGGCTCTCGATGGTGGCGTGACGGGGGCGGGGGCGGCGGCGCGTTCTCCTGGCCCGGGAGGGAAGCAGCCCGCAAACCCAAGCCGGGAGGGGGTCCGGCCTGGGGGGAAGGGGGGGTGACATGTCTCTCGAAGACCCTTTCTTTGTAGTCCGAGGGTGAGTGACAGCGAAGGGG